GGTGGCCTGCCATTGGCCGTCATAGATATACCTAGCACTCTGATAGGTGCCTCCTCCGGGAGCCACTTAAGGCTGGGTTGCTCTGGGGGCCTCACCCCCTGGTGGTGGATCCACCAACCCTGGGTCTTATTCCCCCAGTTTACTCTCATGTCTGAGAGTTTGCATAATCGATCCATCATGTGTTGTACCTCTTCCATTGACTCCTTGGAAGCATCCACCATCAAGGTCAGGTCGTCAGTGAATAGTGAGCAGACCGAGATCGCTTCCTGGGGTATTGCAGATACTTTGATTCTTCTGATGCCTTTGTGGGTTCTTAAATTAGCGGCTAGTGCCTCCATCACGATTACGAATAGGTATGGGGCTATGGGGTCCCCTTGTCTTACTGATCATTGAAGGTCAATGGGAGGGGCTAAGTTCCCATTGACCATGACCCTGGTGGTTGCACTCACGTGCAGAATCCTTATCCATCGCCTGAAATCTGGACCAAAGTTGAGTTTTTCCAAACACCAATCTAAGAAGGTCCAGTCCACATGATCGTATGCTTTTTCGAAGTCAATAAAGATGATGGCTGCATTATTTTTAGACTGTCTGGATAGTTTAATCACCTCGTTTACCAGCAGAATATTGTCCCGGATATTCCTGCCTTGATTATGATGCGTATATTCAAGAATTTTGAGAGTGTCTGGGCTCAACCAGACAAACCGAGTTTCATGATTACCAAATGCTACAAATCCTTTGGTCCAATGGAGCAACAATTTGCCGAGATAATTGGAACATTACGGAGAATCTCCAACAACATGAATTCGGATCCATTACTGCCCTTTATTCTAATGACTCTTCATAGGGAACTGAAGGGAGCAGGCTTTCCCACCGGGTCTGAGATTGAGGGGGAGGGAGGATTTTCTCAGACCTGGTCACAAAATTAAGAGAGTTTTACCAGGACTGGGACAAGAACCGAGTTCTACAAGGGCCTGGTGAAATCTCCGAAATAAAGGGACCTCCTGGGGGCGTACGGATGTGTCGGGGATGCTACCAATGGAAGAAACAGGGGGAAGAAACAGGGATATCGACTACAAGACAAACTGAAGACACGGGGGTCAACAACGGAAGGACAGCGAGAGCCAACTGGGTGTAGCTCAGTTGGTAAGACGTTCAAGTGGCACTCAGGAGGTCGTGGGTTACTTGGCGCCTTACCTTCGAGACGGCCAGTTGGTAAGCAAGTACGTGGTAGCTCAGTGGGCAGAGCTCCGGTGTTGCAACAGGGAGGTTGCGGGTTCGACCTTGTCGGCCTTCAGCTTCCCCGAGGACAACTGGTTGGTGTAGGTTGCACCCCACGTACTTGTCTCGAGCCTGGCATAGCGCCTTTACAGACTAATGACCTCAATAGCTCAGTGGGTAGAGCTCTGATATTGTATGGTGGAGGTCCCGGGTTCAACTCCAGACTATGCTCATTCATCATGTCTATGTATACTGTTCGTCATATCAGCTGGGGATGGTCCTCTGGATGGATTTGGGGGAGACATGAGTCCTTTCCCACAGGGAAAGTTGATGTGGGATGGATGCCACTCTCTCTCTCGGGCCGGGGAGTGGCAAGGGGTTGGTTGGGTGCATGGTGATACCGTGGCAGTCCTATGGTAGGGAGGGGTGCCTTGTAGGGAAGCCAATGTCGAAACAAGAGGTCTGTCCTACTCTCAAGGGCTAGGACCCATTCTGGGGGGGTGGGTTTCAGCGGTTGGTTGGGGGTAGTTGACGAGGGTGGAGGTCTCCTCCACTACCACTGGTCGATTCTCCCTAGAAAACAGACACAGAAAAGGCTCATTAGCAACCACATACATCCATATAGACTACGATATCGTACTAAGCTCACATATCAACCACCGCCATATTCAACAACTGACAGTAGCCACATATATGAACTACGCTGTGCCGGGTTGGTTGTAGAAATAAGGGGGCTCATGGGTTAGACCTTGGTTGGGCGACCATTAGACACTGCCTATGGGTACCCTCACTGCTCACGGGACTGGTTGGAAAAAAACTTCGCGCCTAGCTCCTGAGGTACCCGTATATCGAGGCTTGTACACTAGTGCCTCAACTGAGGCTGAATGGGGAAGCCCATTCAGCCTCAGTGCCCGCGTCCGCTGTCTGGTCAGGTTGCTCCAGTAGAGAGTGATGTTCCTCGCGTAGAGGTAAGATAGTGAAAGATGTGGGGGTGCGCCAGGAGATATGTCAAGAGCGGTGGTAGGATGGAAGGGAGTCTCGTGAGTGGAAAAAAAAAAAAAAAAAAAAAAAAAAGGAGAATGATCTGCGGTAAAGCGGTACAAGCGGTACAAGCACACGTGAACATTTTGAGAGAAGATCATGATGATCTATAAGTCACACTGAGATCCACAGCGACAGTGTATCGAAACAGTGCGAACAGGACATGGGGTGCTGCGTGAAGTCCTTCGATACGACAAAGATTATGGTTTATTATTATTATCATTATTTTTTATTATTTTTTTTCTTTGCAACACGTGTTTTGAGTATGGGACATGGAAAGGCGAGTGAGTTTTGAGGGGATATAAGTGAAAGAGCGGATGCTCTCTAGGAAGACTGAATTGCGTAGAGGAGGAGGTCTGTGGTATGATTCTTTTCATGCCTATCGGCAATTTGGTGCGCTTCGATATTAAACCTCTACTACATTGTTGAAATTTCAGTTCTATCTCTCTTGATCCCCTGTCCGTATCGGTAGCGTCCTCAGCCAACATGGGTGTGAGTGTGAGTGTCAGTGGGTTGCATCTGTTGTGTGGGAGAGTGTTGGCCTCAGACACTGCTGTTACGTGATGGGGGTGGGGGAGGAGGCACAGCCACTGACAAATGCTCGGTTCTTGTGTTGGCCGGGCCCCACCAGAGGCGCCAACTCGGCACCCTAAACGAATACGGAAAGGCGCTAACATGCAATACCTCCCTGCTCAGAGAGAGGTAACCTCCCTTCAAAAGAGAGGTGGATAGATCATAGCTGTGCTTGGAGGGGTCCCCTGTCTAGCCCTGGGAGTAGTGGTAGGTAGGTAGTGAAAGGTGAAAGAATTTGAGAGAAGAACACAGTGTAGTTTTAAAAAGGGGAAAGGAAGAAAGCCCTAAATTGAGGGCGTACTCACATTAGGACTATTTTGCTTATTTATGGACTCGATTGTGGACAGATACATCCAGGTTCCCGGCCAGCCAGACTGACCATCATGACGCTTTGAGATCTGCATCATCCAAACGCATTTCACACAAGCCTGTGGCTGACATTGGTCAGCCTGGGCTTGTCTCAGAGATCAGCCTACTGGTCAGCAGGATAGCAGAGGCGAGTGACAGTGTATCTCCCCTCAGTAGAGGGGCCGACCGGATGCAGAGCTTGACCAACCCCACCAGAACAAATGCTTGTATGACAGGACTTTCACAAACCTCAACAGTAGCTGTAATGCTGTAATGGCCATAATTTATGTGGGACGCTGGGGCCGGTTTCCAGCAGGTGAAGCTCCCCACCAATAGATGGAGCCTTCAACCTGGGGGTCACTTTAGGGGGATGCTCTTATCACCTCCTGAAGTGTTGCTCCCTCTTAAAGTTCTTTCAAAAAAAAAAAAAAAAAAGTATCTGTGCCCGCTTGAAAAACAAATATGGAGCTTGTATTAGGCCGCAACTTTCAGGGGTCGGGGCACTGGATGAAAATGGCTGGCGGCGCAGAGGCAAAATGAGGCCCGCGCCGGTTCATTCTTTTTTGGCACACAGGGGATTCTCAGGCTTGGCTTCAATAGCTGGGTGAGGTACTGGTGGTTTAAACCAGGGGCCAGGTCCCACTAGGAAAGAGGATTGGATAAATATCCTGAATCTGGACGTGTTTTAAGCAGAGATGCAGAAAAGCAGTTCAATCCTGACTTTCTGCACCTTTCCACAAACAAGTCCAGATTCAGGTGTTTAATCCAATCCTCTTTGCTAGTTGGACCTCTGCCCCAGTAGTACGTGGAGACCTGGAGGCCCTGCACTGCGTGCCAAACTTTTCCGAACCMCCAGCGGCACAGTGTCAATTTTTTTTTTTTGGGGGGGGGGCTGGTGCTGCCAGCCATTGTGATCCAGTAGCCCGGACCGCTGAAAAGTTCCTTTTTTCTTTTTTTTTTCTTTTTTTTTCTTTTTTTTTCTTTTTTTTTAAGGGCCCTTGTGCAACCACCAGGACCGCTGAAAAGTTCCGAGTGGGCAACTCCTGATTTTCTGCAATTCTCGGGCTG